GACACCGCTTCGCTCTCAGGAAACTCTCCCCCTTCCCCACCATTACCCACAGCAAAACAAACTTGTCATTTACCACTACAGAGAAACCCGCCTGGCAAATTGTGCAGCTCTCCCTGCTATTCAATATTTGCAAATAACTTCCATTCTGCATTTTATTTTTTTGTATATAATAAATTCCCTCTGTCCTAAGTCGTCACAGAAATCACAAGCAATTATTTCAGCTTCCTGGACAGATTACTGATCAAGAGCACGTTACGAAATACGTTGCCACATGAAAAACTTTCACTGTTGGTTAGTTAAACAACTTCAAGTGCCAGATAAACATTCGTTTCTCAAGAATATTTACCTTAGCGGAGCTAAAGAATTCCTATAGATAGCCAAGAAAAAATGGTCACATGCATGAAAAAGGGAAGTGGGGGTCAATGTTCATGGAATAATTGATTTTGTGAAGTTAAGCCAGTAGCCACTACTCTCTTTGATGAAAACATGGAAGAATATTCATGACAAGAATATTCATGAAAACCTGGAATAAATTTCAATTGGTAACAAGCCAAGATAAAGGGGCAGGGCAGCATTTATCTTCATTTACTCCAGTGCACGGGGCCACAATCAGTTTCCTTCCTTTCCCTTTACTAATGGTTGCTGAGGCCACTCTAGCAATGACAGCTACATGATGACACTTGGCTTTGAAGGACATATAGTGCTGAAAAAGCAGCAGAAACTGGTATCCTCAAATGACAACTTTGTCCAGCTTCTGCCAATAAAAACGGTCTCACGAAAACAGGTAAATTCCTCATAGGCCAGAAGAGAAAGGAAGGATAGTATCAGTTCTCCTATTAAAAGGAGAGCTGACAGATCAGCTTGTGGATGGCTCTCCTTGCCCTGTCCCCCACTGGGGCCTTGTCATTCCTTGGCACCCAAAATGCAAAAAATAAGCCCAATTTCCCCAGGAGAGCCCAAAGAGCGTGTCAGGGGGGCTGTCACCTGGGTGATGCTCGCCGAGGCCCTGCAGCAGCTCAGGAAGGTGGAAGCACACATTGTTCTTGGAGTAGAGGATCTCCCCGTCGAGCA